TAGAAAACAAAATATTAAAGCATTAATATAATGGTTTAATAAAGTCATAAAATAATAATTATCCTCATCAGTTTATTTACTCCCATTAATTACTTTTTGTTCTGCTTAATCCTGGGTTAGAAGTTTTATGAATCAATCAGTTTATCCATTAGATTTTTAGAAATTCTTACCAAGCTCAGTGGTATGATCTTAACGTTATCAGAAGCTTGCACTTGTCAGAGTCTTTTCCATGAACCTCTTTAAAGATAAAGCAATTTTGTCTGTAGTTGATTTCAGGAAAACATCAGAGTAAAACAACTATCTGTGAATGACAAATGCTTTTAAATGGCCATGGTCAAAAATCTCATGAGAGATCATTACAATACAGTTGATAAGAAAATTTGGTTATTTCTGTGGCATGCAACATTTTCAGATAATAACTAGAATTATGACTGATGACATTATACCAGGACATATCAGATTTCTAGAAATTTTATACAATTTCTTTAATACTTATATTAATAATATATATTCATACAAATAACACATAACCCTAATTATTTTAGTATTCTCTTTCAGAAAGATAAAAAACAAATCTTTTGAGATTTTCCAGGGGCCCACTGGAAAATCCCAAAGTTACTTTGAGGTCAAAAGCACTTTATTTAGAATTTGATCCTGGGAGTTCAAATGTTGTCAAAAACGTCAAAAGGTTTAAAACTCTTGATAAAACAGGATCACAGATCACTTTGAAACAATATTCAGTTATCTATTGTATTTGTCTGTGTTGCTACAGAGGAATACCTGAGACTGGGTAATTTATAAAGAAAAGAGGTTTATTTTAGCTCGTGGTTCTTCAGCCTGTACAGGAAGCAGAGTGTTGGCATCTCCTTCTGGTGAGCGCCTCAGGAAGCTTGCAGAAAGTGAAAGGGGAGCCAACATATTACATCATAAGAGAGGGAGCAAGAGAGTTGGTGAGGAGGGGGCTGGGCTTTTTAAAGAACCAGCTCTTGCATGAACTCATTACCACTCATTACCACAGGGAGGGGACCAAGCCATTTATGAGGGATCTGCCCTGGTGACCGGACACCTCCCGCTAGTCCCCACCTCCAACATCAGGGGTCACCTTTCTTTCTTTCTTTCTTTCTTTCTCTTTCTTTCTTTCTTTCTTTCTTTCTTTCTTTCTTTCTTTCTTTCTTCCTCTCTTTCTCTCCTTCTCTCCTCTCTTTCTTCTCTTCCTTTCTTCTTTCTTTCTTTCTTTCCTTCTTTCTTTCTTTCTTTCTTGCTTTTCTCTGAGACAGGTTCTCACTTTGTTGCCTAAGCTGAAGTGCAGTGACACCATCTCGACTCACTGCAACCTTTGTCTCCCAGGTTCAAGCAATTCTCCCACCTCAGTCTCCCAAGTAGCTGGAACCACAGGCACATGCCACCATGTCCAGCTATTTTTTTTATTTTCTGGTAGAGATGGGGTTTCACCATGTTGGCCAGGCTCGAGGGGGTCACATTTCAACATGAGATTTGGATGGGACAGATTTCCAAACCATATCATCTATTTCACCATAGTGACAAAGATTTCAAAGACAAATACACAAAGTTGCATACTTGTAAAAATAAAAACTTTGCTTTTGTAATGTCTTTTTTGTTGTTATTGAGACAAGGTCTCACTGTTGCCCAGGCTGGAGTGAAATGGTGCAATCATAGCTCACTGTACTCCTGGGCTCAAGCAATCTTCCCACCTTAGCCTCTTGAGTAGCTGAGATTACAGGTGTGCACTATCATGCCCAGCTAATTTTTCATTTTTTGGTAGAGACCAGGTCTTTCTATGTTGTCCAAGCTAGCCTCAAACGCCTGGCATCAGGCATTCCTCCCACCTCAGCCTCCTAAATTAGCACCGAGATTATAGGTATGATTCACCATGCATGGCCTTCTTTCAAAATCTGTTAATATTTTGTTTTCTTAAGTAATCAAGGACCTGTTAAAGACAACAAGGAGCATGAAAAATTATTTTGATAATTTGATGATTTGACAGGTAATGAAAACTCTTGTACAAACATCAAGAAAACTTTGTTATTTTAACAGAGAAAAGACCTAATTCTAGTTTGCTCACTTGCTTGCTTGCTTTTGGCTCTCTCTCTGCCTCTCTCTTTTCCCAACTTTCTATATTCACTTAATTTTTGTCTTTTATTCTTCTCTTTTTAAAATTACAAAACAATCTTAAATAACCTCTAAACTAGGACAAAATTTTTCTCCTTTTCTCTCAACAAAATTCATCTTTTTATGCCTCATAACTTTTCTTGCCAAAAACACATCCTACTTTCATTACATTCTTTGCATACAGTTTTGTTTCTTATTATTTCTAGTAGTTTTATGACATATTTTTGTTTGAATTTTAACCTTAATAACCCTAATTCCCAGTAACAACTATAAATAAGCCATTGTGAACTTTGTCTTGTGTACTAACATTCTGTCATGGATTAGGCAAGTTGTGAACAAACCATTTTATAATTTCTGGAGGCATAGGCCTCCTTCATAGCATACTTTTTTTAATGTAACAAGAAGAACACATTACTAACAGGTCCAAATATCTTTTGTCTTTATATCAATTAAGAAGCTCAAGTAGATGAACTTATATTCAGTAATTAATGTTTTGGTATTTCATCTTATTTGTAAATGATCTATATATTCAATTAATATTTATCATTTAACTTAACTGAGTATAACTTTAAGATTTCAAATTTCCGGAAAGATTTTGGAAACTGTATTTAAGCAGATACATTTTTATAAAACATAAATCATTCTTGTAAAGTTTATTTGTAAACTTTCATCCTATTTACGTGTATTTAATTGACTTATTCTTTAAAATTATGTTTCGATTACTCATGAAAATTCCATGAGACATTAGACAAAGCTAGTCCTTATTTTAAGCTGTTTTTCTTATTGGCAGTTTTTATAACCTGTTAGGCAACCATCAAACATCATTGAAGCAAAGCACCAGAAAATTTAAACATATAGCTTTTTTCCCCTTTACCATCATGCTAGACATACATTAAGAAATTTACTTTTACTATATGTTTTATTTTTAAGTTGAATTTATAATCTTAAAAACTTAAATGTCAAACAGAGATAATGTGGCTTGTTTGACTAGTAACCCCAGGTAGAAAAAAAATGTATATTTGAATTATATTTAACATTGATAACCTGAAGACATGCCTGTTTTTATTAAACCAACAAACTTGAGCTAGCTTTATTTACCAAAAATGATCCCAGCTCGTATGAGCTTGGAAAACATGTGAGTTAGTGTCTGTATTTCTCTCTATATAAGCATTTATGTTTTTTTCTTTAAGACAAATAAATAGAGCTCTTTTACAAGTTACTTTTGGCAATACCATCCAGAGGTAGATAAAATATTATATATATCAGCAATCACAGTCATACATAAAAACATGACCCAGATGCAAACAGAGATATTATAGCTTTCATTCTAAAATTTTAGCCGTGAATCAGGTATAATAACACAGAACTCGCTAGTTTATCACAGTTTATAGAAGAAAAGTTGGTTCCAAACTGTGTTTCAGGCAGATGGAAAAAGTTAAGTTTACCTGCTCAGATAGAGATGACTTTTTAAAAATATTTATGGAGAAGACTTTTAAGATTTTTTATTTGCTCTTCATAGGTGATCTCATGGAGGCTATGAACTAGATTGGGGGAAAGGAAGTGTTCCTCATGGTTTGGAGTTGTTTGGTTTTTAAGCCACTTTTTTTTTTTTTTTTTTTAGTTCCAGCTGGGCTAGGCATAGAAATTGTTTTAGTTAACTCGTCAGATGTTTACATTGTGAAGACATAGTAAGGTTTACATCTCCAAGGGACTGAGAAAAGATGTGGGTTTTCTCCAAGAAAGAGTTTTGGAATATATTTGCCTATTATTAGGCATATAGGGTAATTTTTTCTTTTTGTTAAATATTTATATTACTTTGAGTGTAATGAGGTGCTTCTTAGTGTTTCAAGACAGAGAGTGAATTGGTGTTGAGAAAAGGGGAATTGTTGAGGAGCAGTTGAGTATTATTTCAGAATGAGTGACCAAGAAGATGATGCTGTTTTTATCACAGATGGTGAATACAAATTGGGTTGTGGGGGCTAATAGTGAATTCAGCCTCGAACATTTAGAGTTTGAATTACTTACTTAACCTCCAAGCTAAAACCATTGGTCTAGACTGCGCTTACTAGTAAAAGAGTCAAGGGCAAGTATCAATATTTGTAAGTCATAAGCATAAGTGATGATTCCATAAAGGGAGCGCCTGCAGATCAGGGCTTAGGCAGAGAAACATCAAAAGCCAATGTGAGGCCAGGCAAGGTGGCTCACGCCTGTAATCCCAGCACTTTGGGAGGCCGAGATGGGCAGATTGCCTGAGGTCAGGAGTTTGAAACCAGACTGGTCAACATGGTGAAACCCATTTCTACTAAAAATACAAAAATTAGCCAGGTGTGGTGGTGGGCGCCTATAATCCCAGCTACTCGGGAGGCTGAGCCAGGAGAATTGCTTGAACTCGGGAGGTGGAGGTTGTGTTAGCTGAAATCGTGCCACTGCACTCATACTCCAGCCTGGGTGATAGAATGAAACTCAGTCTCAAAAAAAAAAAAAAAAAAAAAGCCAACCTGAAAGGAAGCAATCAGTGAGGCAGAAGAACCAAAAGGGAGGTAGGTGCTGAAGAAAACCGAGTAAGAAAAAAATTGCAAGGAGAGAAAGGGTAAAGAGAGTACATGCAACAAATATCAGGAAAGCAGAGGCCTAGGGAATCAGGGCTAGATTTGAGGATTCCAATGTCATTATTATCTTTGCAATTAAAAATCATTCCTCATTTTCCACAGAAACTGATGCAGAGCCTCATCAGTTTAATTTCTGCAACAACCAGTACAATTACTTACATGCAACTGGTATAGATAGATAGCTTTATATTTTATGTTTCTCTTTTATGATTATAATGAATCCTTGTTTTACTTCCTGTTATTATTTTGTGTTTCCAATAGAGAGGTTCAATTAAGAGGTTGAAAAGCTGCAGGAAGAAATTTAAGCTGAATTGAAATGAGGGAGTAACATCAGCAAGATGATGAAAATGGAAGATCCCCTACTATCACTCCCTGCAAAAAAATACAACTAGAAACTACTTAAAGATGAGAACGCAACCCTGAGTTCACCACAATTCAAGGGAGAATTGAAGAAACCTCCGGGGCCCTCAGAAATGAGAGAAGCTGTGACAGGTAAGAAAAATGGCCATTTCAGACATCACAGCCCCCTCCATCAAGCTGGCATAATGCCACTCATAGAGAATTTTCCTAGACTCGTGGTTTCTGAGGTAAGAAGAGGGAGTTGGAAGTGGACATAGAAGTGGACATACGATCTCCCCACCAGTCTCAGAATCTTCTCAGGAAGACCACTTTTGCCCCATCCTATGGAACAATGGGAGTGCCAGAGGGCTGAATTACATGGGATGAACTGAGACAAAGAGTGGGACACTGATCATAGCAACTGGCATGTGGATCTTGGCAGTTACTCTTCACTCCAGTATGGACACCACATTGAAGAGACTGGCTGGCACTATAGTGCTTTTGTGGACACAGTCTGTGAGAAGGCCTGAATCCCTGGCCAGATTTCAACAAAGACTAGGTGTTCCCATGGAGCCTCCACTGGATCAGAAACAACTAGAAACATTGGGACTGAGTTCCAGTGACTGCTTAAGTCTTCCACAAACTGGGAGACAGTGGCAGGGCAGCAATATAGCTCCAGGGCATTGTTAACTTAGTGCTCACTATAAGTCTTCCCCAGACTGGGAAACAGTGGCAGGATGAAAGTTAGTTCCAGTGCAGTGATTTAGTTCTGGTACTCACTATAAATTCTCCCTACCCCAGAAAATAATAATAATAATAATAATAATAATAATAATATCAGCAGTTAAGTTCTGATACTAAGTAATAAAGGTCTAACACCAAAGAACACACCTGCAAGAACTGGAAGAGGTAGCTATCTCCTGAAATGTGCAGGTATTAAGGCAAAGCCACAAGAACTGTAAAAACTCAGAGAAATATGACCTTACCAAAAGAAATCAACAAAGCTCCCACAATGGAGCCAGAAGAAGTGAAGATCTAGGAAATGTTAAATAGACAATTCAAAATAACCTTCTTAAATTTAGAGAATCACAAGAAAATATGGATAGAAAAAAAAATAAAATTTGGAAAGTGACCCAGTAACAAAATGAGATATTTGACAAAGAAATTAAATAAGAAATGAAACAAACAAATCCTTTATTTCTAGGATTTCTCTGTTTCTAGAAACCCTAGAAATAAAGGACACAATAACTAAACTGAAAAACTCATTAGAAAGTTTTAACAGCAGACTTGATTAGGGAAAAGAATTAGTAAGTTTGAAGACAGCACATATGAAATTACCTAATCAGAGGAGAAAAAAAGACAAAAGAATTTGAAAGTGTAAAGAGGAACTTTTTAAGAATTATGGCACATGATCAAGCAAACTAACCTCTGCATAGTAGGAATTCCCAAAGGAGGCAAGAGAGAAAAAGTCCTGGAAGACATATTTAACAAAACAATGGTGAAAATTTCCCAAAGATGGAGAAAGAGAACACCATTCAGATACAGAAATCTCAGAGGTCATCAATCAAATTAAACCCAAAGAGGTAATCCCTAAGGCATATCATAATCAAATTAGCAAAAAATCAGAGACAAAAAAATACTCACTGCAGCAAAAGAAAAGAAAAATATTACATTAAACAAAGCACCAATACAGCTTTCACTGGATTTCACAGCAGAAATCCTACAGGCCAGGTAAGAATGGGATGCTTGAAAGTGCTGAAAGAAAAAAAAAAACTGCCAACCAAGAATAATGTGTCCAGCAAAGCTATTAAAACAAGAAGACAGATAAAGACTTTCCCAGACAAACAAAAACTGAGGGAATTTGTCAACACCAGACCTGTGTTACAAGACATGCTAAAGAGAGTTCTTCAATCTGAAAGAAATGTATGCTAACATGTAACAAGAAACAATCTGCAGGTATGAAACTCGTTGGTAAAAGAAAGAAAACAGACCAATTCAGAATACACCAATAGTGAAATTAGGATAAGTAAATGACCTATATCTTAAATATGAAGATTAAAAGACAAAACCACTAAAAAGAATAATGGCAACAATTTATTAAGAGATGCACAATGCAAAAAAAGTAAACTGAAACACAAAAAAAGCCAAAACATGGTGAGAGGATGGTATTGAAGTGTAGAGTTTGTTGTTTCTTATATTTTCTTTGCAATAAAATATAAGTCACTATCAGTTTAAAATAACCTATTATAAATATAAGAGGGTTTTTGTAAGCCTCATGTTAACCATAAAGCAAAAACCTACAATATATATACTCAAAATAAATAGCATGAAATAAAAATGTACTACTAGTGGAAATCACTTAACCACAAAGGAAGAGAGTGAGAGACGAAAAAGGGAAGAATTCACAAAACAGCAAGAAATCAAGTAACAAAATGGCAGTAGTAAACCCTTACTATGAATAATGACTTTGAATGTAAATGGATCAAATTGTCCAACCAAAAGACATAGAATGGCAAGATTCAACTGTATGCTATCTACAAGTACTTCACTTAATCTATAAAGACATTCACAGACTAAAAGTGAAGGAATGAAAAAAGATATTTCATGCAAATAGAAACCAAAAAGGAGCAGGTATAGGTTTACTAATATCAGATAAACTAGACTTGAAGCCAAGAGTCATTTTTAAAATGACAAAAAAGAAGGCCATTATTTAATGATAAAGGGGACAGTACAGCAACAATACATAACAATTGTAAATATATATGTACCCAATACTGGAGCACACAAATATGTAAAAAAGTTAATAGACCTAAAGGGAGAGATTGACTACAATAAACAGTAGTAGGAGATTTCAACGCCCCCATTTTCAGTGATGGCTAGATCACTCAGACAGAAAAGTAACAAAGAAACATTGGAGTTAAACTGAACTCTAGACCAAGGGAACATAACAGATATTTTATGTTATGCTATATTTTATTTTATTTGATGTTACAGATATTACAGAACATTCCATCCAACAGCTGCAGAATACACATTTTTCTCAACAGCACATAGAAGATTATCCAGGACAGATCATATGTTAGGTCCCAAAACAAGTCTTGACACATTTTTTAAAAATCCAAATCATATCAAGTGCATTTCTTACCACAATTATTCCAATTATTCCACCATTCTGGAATAAAACTAGAAACCAGTTTTTTAAAAAGGAACACTGGAAATTGTACAAACTCATGGAAATTAAACAACATACTCCTGAACACTGAATGGGTCAATGAAGAAATTAAAAGGAAATTTAAAATTACCTTCAGACAGATGAAAATGGAAACATGACATACCAAAACCTATGTAATATATCAAAGCAGTTCTAATAGCAGTTCTGCAGCAATAAATGCCTACATCAAAAAAGCAGAAAGACTTCAAATAAACAACCTAAAGATCACCTCAAGGAACTAGACAAGCAAAAACAAACCGTACTCATAATTAGTAGAAGGAAAGAAATAATAAAGATGACAGCAGAGTGAAACTGAGACTAAAACAATACAAAAGATTGATGAAGCAAAAATTGCATTCTTGAAATAATAAATGAAATTAACAAAACTTTAGCTAGACCAAAGAAAAGGGAGAGGACTCAAATAAATAAAATCAGAAACAAAAAAGGAGATATTACAATGGATACCACAGAAATAGAGAATCATGGCAGATTATTAGGAATAATTGTATGCCAATAAATTGGGAAAACTAGAAAAAAAAAGATTAATTCCTGGGCCCTTACAACCTACCAAGATGAAACCAGGAAGAAATAGAAAACCTGAACAGACCAATAACAAGTAATGAGATTGAAACAGTAACAAAAAGTCTCCCATCAAAGAAAAGCCCAAGATCTGATGGGTTCACTGTTGAATTCTACCAAACATTTAAAGAAGAATTAATACCAATTCTGCACAAACTATTCAAAAATCTTGAAGAGGAAGGAATACTTCCAAACTCATTCTATAAGGCCAGCATTACTGAGACCCCAAAACTAGACAAATACACAATTAAAAAAGAAAACCACAAACCAATTTTACTGATAAACATAGATGCAAAAATTCTTAACAAATTATCAGCAAACTGAATTCAACAACATATTTAAAAAAATCATTCCATCATAGTCAAGTGAGATTTATCCAAGAGATGCAATAATGGTTCAACATATGCAAATCAGTAAACTTGATACACCACACTGACAGAATCAAAAATAAAAATTGTATGATCATTTCAATAAATGCTGAAAAAGTATTTGATAGATTTCAACATTTTTTCCGTGATTAAAACTCTCAACTAATTGGGTATAGAGGGAACATACTTCAAAAAAATGAAGGTGATATGTGAAAAACCCACAGCTAACATACTGAATAAAGAAAAATTGACAACCTTTCCTCTAAGATCTGGAACACAACAAGGATCCCCATTTTCACCACTTTTTCAATAGATTACTGGAAGTTCTAGCCAGAAAAATTAGGCAAGAGAAAGAAAATAAATGACATCTAAATTGGAAAGGAAGAAGTCAAGTTATCTTTGTTCACAGACGACATGATTCTATGTTTTGAAAACTTTATGATTCCATGAAGAAACTATAATAACTGATAAACAAATCTGGTAAAGTTGCAGGATACAAAATCAACATATAAGAATTAGTAGCACTTCTACATGCCAGTGGAAACAATCTGAAAACAATCAATAAAGTAATCCCATTTATAATAGCTACAAAAAAATTGAAATAGCTAAAAATAAATTTAACTGAAGAAATGAAAGATCTCTACAAGGAAAACTATAAAACACTGATGAAAGAAGTTAAAGACGACTCACAAAAAATGGAGTGATATCCCATGTTCATGGATTGGAATAATTAATGTTGCTAATATGTCCGTACTACCCAAAACAATCTACAGAGTCAATGCAATTGCTATCAAAATACCAATGATATTATTCACAGAAGAATAAAAAAACAATTTTAAAATTTGTGTGGAACCACTAAAGACCCCAAATAACCAAAGCAAACCTGAGAAAAAAAACAAAGCTGGAGGTATTACACGACCTGATTTCAGAATATACTGCAAGGCTATGGTAATAAAAACAGCAGTACTGTCATAAAAACAGACACTTAGGCCCAAAGGAACAGAATAGAGAACCCAGAAATCAATCCACATCGTATTTTTATAACCAACTCATTTTTGACAAAGGTACCAAGAACATACTTTGGGGAAAGAACAAACTCTTCAATACATGGGAAAACTAGACATCCATATCTAGTTATCCAGAAAAATAGAACTAGATTCCTATCCTTCACATATTCCAATACCACATATAAAGGGATGAAAGATTTAAAAATAAGACCTGAAACTATGAAATTACTAAAAGAAAACAGCGAGGAATCACTTCAGGACATTGGTCTGGGCAAAGATGTTTGGGGTAAGACCTCAAAAGCACACACAGTAAAACCCAAAAATAGACAAGTGGGATTACATCAAGCTAAAAATGTTTTACATAGCAAAGAAAACAATCTACAAAGTTAAGAGACAACTTACAGAATGGAAGAAAATATTTGCAAACTATCCATCTGAAAAGTGATTACTAAACAGAATATACAAGGAACTCAAATCAATAAGATAAAAACAAATAATTCAATTTTTAAAATGGGCTAAAGATCTAAACAGACATTTCGCCAAAGCAGACATACAAATGGCAAAGAGGAATATGAGAAAAGTGTTCACTACCACTAATACAAATCAAAACTACAGTGTGATATCATCTCACCCCAGTTAGAATGGCTACTATCAAAAAGACAAAAAATAACAAATGCTGGCAAAGATGTGGAGAAAGGGGAATGCTCATACACTGTGGGTGGGATAGTAAATCAGTGCTGCCTCTATGGAAAACAGTATGGAAATCTTCAAAAATTTAAAATAAATCCACCATACGATCTGCTGGGTATATATCCAAAAAAGAAGGAAAATCAGTACACCAAAGAGATATTGGAGGAAGAAGCAAAGCAAGATGGCCAAATGGAACCCTCCAGTGATTGTCCCCACTGCAGGAACACCAAATTGAACAAATATCTTTGCAAGAAAACACCTTCATAAGAAACAATAATCTGTTGAGCCTTCACAGTGCCTTGCTTTAACATGATATCAAGGAAAAAGGAACTGAAGAGGATAGGAAAGACAGTCCTGCACTGGCTACAGTACCCATCCCCCCATCCCAGGAAATGCATGGAAAGAAAATCTATGTGCTTGGGGGAGGGAGAGTGAAGTGATTGTGGGATTTTGCATTGGAACTCCATGCTGCCCTATCGCAGAGGAACCCAGCACAGGGAAGAATTCTGCCATTGCCCATGGAGGGATCATATAGAATAGCCTCAGCCAGAGTAGGATCCTCCACTCCAAAGAAGTTCTGGCTAGCTCCACCATTGACTCACTAAAGTGACCTGGAGTCCTGAATATATTTGAAAGGCAGTCAGGCCACAAGGACTGCAGTCTCTAATCAAGTCCTGGTACTGCATTGGGCTCGAAGTCAGTGAACTTGGAGTGCAGCAACCCAGTGAAACATCAGTTGCTACAGCTAAGGGAATGCTTACATCACCCCTCCAACAACTCCAAGCAGTACAGCTCAAGTAGACTCTTCCACTTGCAGAAAAGAGAGGGAAGATTACAGAGGACTTTGCCTTGCAACTTGGGGACCAGCTCAGTCACAATGAACTAAAGCATCAGGCAGATTCCTGAAGCCCCTGATTCCAGGCCCTAGTTTCTGGACAGTACTTCTAGACCAACCCTGTGCCAGAAGGCAACCCAATGCCCAGAAGGAAAAGACCCAGTCCTGGCAGAATTCACCACCTGATGACTAAAGAGCTGTTGTCTTTGAATAAACATCAGTGATAGCCAGGCAATAGTCACCATGGGCCTTGAGCAAGATACAGCACTATGCTGACTTCAGATGTGATCCAGCACAGTCCCAGCTATGGTGGCCAGGGAAATGCTTGCATCACAACTCCCCCAATTCCAGGCAGCCTAGCATGGAAAGAGAGGCTCCTGTTTGGGGTAAATGAGGGAAGAAAATGAGAGATCCTGCTTGGTAATTCAGGGGATTCTTTTAGATCTTACCCAAGCCCTCTTCGAGCCTGCAAGTGTCACAGTGTTACTGGGCTTGGGGTGCTCTCTAGTCCAGATACAGCTGCAATGACCAGAGACTTAAATGACAACGTTCAATTCTCTTTGAATATCTCAAAAGCCTTCTCAAGAAAGATTGGTACAAATAAGCCCAGACTGTGAAGATAAGAATAAATACCTAACTCTTCAATGCCCAGGCATCAACAAACATCCGTAGGCATCAGGACTATCCAGGAAACCATGACCTCACCAAATAAACTAAATAAGGCACCAGTGACCAAACCTGCAGTGATAGAGATGTGTGAACTTTCACACAGGGAATTCAAAATAGTTACTTTAAGGAAGCTCAACAAACTTCAAGATAACAAAAAAGGAATCCAGAATTCTATCAAAAATTTTTAACGAAGAGATTGAAATTTTTTTAAAAAATTAAGAAGAAATTCCGGAGTGGAAAAATTCAACTGACAAACTGAAAAATGCATCAGAGACTCTAAACAGCAGAATTGATTAAGCAGAAGAAAAAATTAGTGAGCTTCAAGACAGAGTATATGAAAATATATAGTCAGAGGAGAAAAAATAGAAATGAATAAAAAAGAATGAAGCATGCCTACAAGATATAGAAAACAGCATCAAAAGGGCAAACCCTAAGAGTTATTGGCTTTAAAGAAGAGGTAGAGAGATTGAGCTAGAAAGCTTATTCAAATAAATAACAGACCTTTCCAAACCTAGAAGAAGATACCAACATTCAAGTATAAGAAGGTCATAGAACACCAGGAAGATTTAACCCAAATAAGAATATCTCAAGATATTTAATAAACCCTCAAAGGTCAAGGATAAAGAAAGGATTCTAAAGGCAACAAAAGAAAAGAAGCAGATAACATATAAAGAGCTCCAATGTGTCTGGCAGACTTCCCAGTGGAAACCTTATAGTCCCGGAGATAGTGGCATGACATATTTAAAGTGCTGAAAGAAATAAAACGTTTATCCTAGAATAGTACATCCAGTGAAAATTCCTTAAAACATGAAGAAGAAATAAAGACTTCCCAGACAAATAAAAGCTGAGTGATTTTGTTAACACCAGACCTATTCTACAAGAAATGCTAAAGGGACTCCTTCAATCTGAAAGAAAGGGTTGTTAATGAGCAATAAAAAATTATCCAAAGTTACAAAACACTGGTAAGAGTAAGTACACAGATAAATACAGAATACTCTAACACTGTAATTGTGATGTGTAAACCACTAATTTACTGAGTAGGAATACTAAAAGACAAACCTCTCAAATACAATAACTACAACAAAGTTTTAAGAGGCAGAGTGTATAAAAAGATAAGAAACA